CCCCCCCACCCCCCACCCTCCGCGTGTCTCTGTCACTCCATTCTCCTCCCCTCCGGCTCCCTCGGATGCTTTAATGCCTCGGATGCTTCAGCCTCCCCTCCGTCCCTCCCGGGGGTGTGGTACTCCAGGCTCCGGCCGCCGCACCGCGCAGGCTCCGGGCTGGACGCGCCTCCCGACTCGCGCTCGTGGCGCGGAGCCTGCTGGGATTTGTAGTTCACGATCGCACGGGGCGGGGCCGACGCCGCCAGGCTGTGAAGCCTAAGAACCACCCAGGACCGTCCCGAGAGTCCCGTTTGCTCGGGCCCACCATTGGGCGAGTGGGAGACTGGGATCACGAGACGTGGGCAACCCTCGACCACCCTTCCCGCTCCCCAAGGAGCCTGGGAAGCGGAGTCCTCAGGGCCACGGCAGCGGAGTGCTGGGGTGAGAGAACTTGCCCGCCCAGCCGGCCGCAACTCGCTTCCTGGGGGCCAAGCCGGGCCACGGGCGGGAGCCTCGGGGCGGAGACCCCACTCGCGGCCGCCACAGTCCGCGCCGGCCGGCGGCCGCGCACGTGCGCCTGGGCGCTCACAAAGGTGCACTTTGTTTCCGCCAGGGCGGGAAGGTCGGCGAGCCCGCGCCGCGCTCCGCGGCCACGCGGCCCGAGCGCCCCCAGGCGGCGGCGGCGGGTGCAGGCGGATCCGAGCGTGGGAAGCCGCGCGCTCGGTTACTAAGCCGCCTTGGAGCCCCGGAGGCCCCGAGCCAGCGATCCTCGTTCGAATTAAGTTATTGTCGCTTGCGTCCGCGGGAGTCTTAATGAGTAACAGCCTGGCCAGCGCCCAGCCGGCGAGGAAATGCGTTCAGACTCCGGGCTTGTTTATCTTGAGGTTCTTAGCTCTTTCCACTGGTAGGCTCAGAACATCAGACTCCAGATCTGGGTTCAGCACCCCCCAAGCCCCACTCATGGGAAATGGGATCTCTGGCCACCTGGGGTGTCGGGCGGGGCTGATAGGCCCCAGGGAACAATGAGACCTTTGCCTCCTCTGCATCATTCAGGCCGGATATCCGTTCTGAAGCCAGCTCTGGGCCTTCTCTGTCCAAAAGGAGGAAACCCTCTGTCCCCAAGGCTGCCAGGAAGTAGCAGGGAGGTACAGGGAGAAACGCCGAACAGTTCTAATGCAATGAAGACTAAAGAAATTAATTCTTTCCAGACCTTGAACACAGGACTAGTGCTGATTCCAGCAGCTGTGGGTTGTCTTTTTCCCAGGGGGCATAGCCACTTCCTACTGTCTGGATTTAGATATTCCTGGACTTCGATTATAAGGTGGGACCAAGCATTTCAGAAAGTATTGTTGTAAGCAACAGATATGTATATATGTGCATATACACATACATGTGTGTGTGTGTTAGGGCTCAGAGCCCTAACTTGTGATGAAAAGTCCTGTCTCAGAGTAGTACCACCCTTGGGGCTTGAACTCCAGGCCTGGGTGCTGTCCTAGCTCTCTGCCAGTTGAGCCACAGCTCCATTTCCAGATTTTTGGGTGGGTAATTAGAAATAAGAGTCTCATTGGCTTTCCTTCCTGAGCTAGCTTAGAACCACGATCTTCAGATCTCAGCCTCTTGAGTAGGTAGGATTACAGATGTGAGCCACTGGTGCTTGGCTAGAAGGAGAGACTCTTAAAGGTAGCAACATTAGCCGGGCGCTGGTGGCTCACGCCTGTAATCCTAGCTACTCAGGAGGCTGAGATCTGAGGATCGCGGTTCAAAGCCAGCCCAGGCAGGAGAGACCGTGAGACTCCTATCTCCAATAAACCACCAGAAAACCGGAAGTGGCGCTGTAGCTCAAGTGGTAGAGCGCTCGCCTTGAGCTGAAGAGCTGAGGGACAGCGCCCAGGCCCAGAGTTCAAGCCCCACGGCCGACCAAAAAAAAAAAAAAGCAACATCATGGAACCCACCAACTATAATGCTCAATTTTAGCAGCCTAGGGCCTGATAAAACTCCAATATTGGTTTACTTGATTGACATTTAAAAAATAATAACTGCCGGGCGCCGGTGGCTCACGCCTGTAATCCTAGCTACTCAGGAGGCTGAGATCTGAGAATCGCGGTTCAAAGCCAGCTCGGGCAGAAAAGACCGTGAGACTCCTATCTCCAATAAACCACTAGAAAACCGGAAGTGGCGCTGTAGCTCAAGTGGTAGAGCGCTTGCCTTGAGCTGAAGAGCTGAGGGACAGCGCCCAGGCCCAGAGTTCAAGCCCCATGACCGACAAAAAAAAAAATAATAATAACTAAACTGGGCGCCGGTGGCTCACACCTGTAATCCTAGCTACTTAGAAGGATGAGATCTGAGGATTGTGGTTCAAAGCCAGCCCAGCAGGAAAGTCCTTGAGACTCTTATCTCCAATATGCCACTCAGAAAACCACAAGTGGCACTGTGGCTCAAGTGATAGAGTGCTAACCTTGAGCTGAAGAGCTGAGGGACAGTGCCCAGGCCCAGAGTTCAGCCCCCACAACTGACAAAAAATAATAATTGTAATAACTAAGGCTGAGTCAATGGCTCATGCCTCAGGAGGTAGAGATCCAGAGGATACAAGTTTGAGGCTAGCCTTAATGAAAAGGGCATGAGATCCCATCTGGTCCAATAAAAAGCTGGGTATGGTGACAAGCACCTGTCATGCCATGTATAAAGAAAAAAAAAAACATAAATAGGAAGATCACAGTCCAGACCAGCTCAGACATATATGTAAAACCTTACCTGAAGAATAATGAAAGCAAAAAGGGCTGGAACATTGATCTAGTAGTAGAGCCTAACAAATGTAAGTCTCTATGTTCAAACCCAGTACAAATTTAGTAATAATAACATTGGATTACCTTTAAATGGCTTATGCTATAAAACAGTTCAGGCTTTCTGTGCTTACCAATCCTGAGAACCTTGTAGCAATACAGATTCTGGTAAAGTGCAAACCTAGGTCTGAGGCTGGTCCTGAGATTCTCTTATTCCCAACTAACTTTGGTGAGGGTCCATAGATCACACTCCTTTAAGAAGTGAGGTTCTATAGTTATCTATGATCCTTCTTCACTGTCTCATGCCTAGTGATTTTACTTATCTAGCCTTGAGTCTAGACACTTACAATCCTATAAAGTCGTGTCTGCCCCCCTCATTTTATACACTGTGAAACAGATCCAGAGGGCATCAGTGACTTCAGCTGGGCATGCAGCAGGTAGGTGTCCAGTTCTCTATCCACTACGGGGTGATGCATCCTGCCTACAAAATAAATAGTTGTAGGTCAAGTATCTGCACCTCTGTAAGGAAATTAGGACATTCCAACACAAGAATGGAACAATGGCTAGCATTTACTCAACTCCCAACTGGGGGCCAGGCTCTCTGCTAACTGTTTGACATGGATTATCTTGGTGAACACAACATCCGGATGAGATAGGGAACATAGCTCTATTTTCTAGATAAAGTGAGGTTTTATAATTTGCCTGCGATCACATAACTTGCAAGTAAAGGTCTTGGGGTTTGAACCCAGCAGGCTGACTCAGAGTTTATGCACTTAGTTTCTGCCTGGCCAGGCTAGACAGAATGACTTGGTCGTGAGTGTTCTGTTTGGTTACCAGAACTTGTAAGAAGACAAATCAATTGGCTGACAAAGTAGTTAAGACTTAGGGGGGATTTCCATCCCAGTCCATAATTCCATCATTATTCTTTTCAATTAACAATTTGAAGTCTGCTTTAAAATGGGTCTATTTAAGGAAGAATAGTGAGGGAGGTTTATTTGGGGGGGGGGCAGTACTAGGCTTTGAACTATGGGCATTGTGCTTTAGAAGCAGATATGCTACCACTTGGCCCATGCTCCCTCTGCCAGCCCTTTTTTTACCAGTCCTGGGGCTTGAACTCAGGACCTGGGTGCTGTCCCTCAGCTTTTTTGCACAAGACTAGAACTCTACCACTTGAGCCACAGCTCCACTTCAGCTATTTGGTGATTGGTTGATATTAGAGTCTCACACCGGGCAGCAGTAGCTCCCACCTGTAATCCTAGCTACTCAGGAGGCTGAGATCTGAGGATCACTGTTTGAAGCCAGCCAGGCAGAAAAGTCCCCATGAATTTCTTATTTCCAATTAACCACCAGAAAAACAGAAGTAGAGCTGTGGCTCCAAGTGGTAGAGTGCTAGCCTTGAGCAGAAGAGCTGAGGGACAGCATCCAGGCCCTTAGTTCAAGCCCTACAACTGACAGAAGATAAAAGAGAGAGACTCACAGACTTTCCTGCCTAGGCTGGCTTTGAATTGTGAACCTCAGATCTCAACCTCTCAAGTAGTTAGGATTACAGGCGTGAGCCTCCAGTGCCAGGCCAGCCCTTTTACCTTTTAGGTTTTTTCAAATTGGACCTGGCATTTACACCTAGGGCCAGTCTCAAATCTGATCTTCCTATTTATGCTTCTCTCAGAACTGAGTTGCCAAGCACATGACCACATCTAGCTACTGGTTGTGATAGGGGTCTCATGAACTTACACACCCACCATCCCAGCTGGCCTTGAACTATAATACTTTTAGCCTCCTGAGTAGCTAGGATTATAGGCATGACCTTCCACACCCAGGGAAAAGTAGGTATTGAGTATCCATATTGGAGTAGGGAATGGTAAACAGCTGAGAACAAGGATAGAAATTCAAATGGAGGCTTCTGAAGGATGAGAGGGATGAGACTATGCAGAAGACAAACACAGAGTTACCTGTGTTCAGAATCAGCTGAGCCACAGGAATCTGTATTCCCTGGGCACCTATATCTCCCATGAATAAAACTGCTGGTTAGAGTTCATATAAATAGAAATCTGCTATTCTGAAAAGCCCTATTTTCGTCCTAAAATCATCTGCCTCAGTGATTATATTGGCTTTCCAAATGCTGGTGGAGCCAGAATTTTTACCCCTAGTGCACCCTCAGTTTGTGGATCTCAGGGTACAGCTGGAGATTGAGATTTCATTCTCTCATGTATTCTCTTCTTCTGAGGTTACCTTTATGTG